TTTGAATTTTGATTTGAGAGTTTTTATTTAAAATTATTATTTAAAATTGTTTATTATTTTTTATTTTAAATTTTTTTATTTTATTGGAGAGTTAATTGAATAATTGAAAATTGTTTGTAATGTAAGCATTGAATATATCAAGAATCAGGAATGAAAAAAATGACATGAAAATAAAATGAAAATGATGCCTCAAGGTCATAAAAAAATGCATATGAAACTCACCTTGCAGTCGGTTGCAAGATGCCCTCCAATCCTGAAGATCTCTCCATGTGATTCTGACGCCAAAGGTTGAAGTCAGCTTGGCAGCACCAGCACTTTCAAAGACAGCAGACAGTTCAAAAGTTCACTAATCACTCACCACACAACCAAGAATGTTTTATCAACTCAAAATCCACAAAGATCAAATAATATTTTTAATCACTCAAAATAAGATGAATGAGAAAAGTAATCCTTCGAATCTAATTCGCACTGTCACTTCAATCCGTATCTAAACACACACTAAACAATTCACAAAATCACTTGCACTGAGTCCCGCACTTTGTATTTTCAATGTTCACACGCGGCGCCGGTTTTTTGCGCTCACTAGGAACCCGATGTTAACGAATTTTAGCTACGCGACGCGAGACTACCCGTTCCGCGCGCGGTCGGGGAACGACTGACTCCCCACTGAAAATGGCAGGGCGTTGGAGACGGGGGCGCTCGAGTGGGGGGTCCCCCGGCGAGACTCCAGGCATGCGCACAGAACACTCCCCATGCGCACAGAACACCCTGCATGCGCACAGAAGACCGAGTGGGGGAAATCCGCTCGAGTGGGGTCGCCAGGCGATACTCCGTGCATACGCACGCTCACCGTCCATGCGTGCAGAACACCGCGGGCAGTCTGAATTTGACCAGATACGCTAATTGCGAAAATTCTTGACCTAATAAATAATTCTCTCTTAAAAAAAAACAGTACAATCACGTAAAATCCAATAGTCAGTGAAAAATAATTGATTGAAGAGAATTTAGCGTGTGGATTTTGGTCTTGATCATCAAAAACACTTCGATTGGATCTCTGAAACGGGAATGGGAGTTATCAGATACATTGAATTACGTCCTGTTTTCTAATCCCGTCAGCTCGAGTGCCGGTTCGTCTGCGAAAACTGCTGCATCAGATGTAAGTCGCTATTATTTTTTAATAAAAATAAGAGGAATCAATTTATTTATTGTTATTGCCTGATTTTTGGAGACTGGATAATGCTTCTATAGTTTATTCTATTTTTGAAACTTTGAATTCATGTAGATACCACACATCCCATAAACCAAGGCCGTATTTTACATTTTTTCCTTATTATTTTAAATTATCATTTTTTAAATAGTCCCACCAGTGCCGAATAGCTGCAGAGTGGGGATGACATGGCGATGAGGGGAAGGTGATAGAACTTGTCTCCTGTTTTTGGCTTGACAATACCTGCATTGGGTGTGGCGCCCCCTCTCTCTTGGGGTGATGATTACAATGCGGGTGGAGGCACTGAAACCCCCAGAACTGAGCCTCTACTTTACTCAATCCTCTTTGGACTGTATCAGATGACTAGTTTTCATTTTTATTATTAGTACTTGACAGTAGAAAACCAATTATTTACTTTCTACCCCCAAAATATTTTTCTACACAATGGGAATTTTTTTCGCGAAGAAAAAGCCACCTAGTCGAATTACTGAACAGGATAGAGCAGTCCTGGTAAGTGGATGAATAAATTTAACCTAGTCATATAAAATTTCAATCAACTCGTCATTTTATTTTATATTATTTATTGCAGCAACTTAAGCAAACGAGGGACAAAATAAAACAATATCAGAAGAGGATAGAGCTGAGTATCGAAAAAGATCGAGAACTCGCGAGAAAACTTATAAAAAATGACCGAAAGGAGTAAGAATTATTTATTTGTTGCCAATTGTTTTACTCTCACTGAATTTTTCCATTTTTGCATGCAATATAATTGATTGAATTGATTTAATTAATTGTTCAACCTTGAAAATTATAAGTAATATAATATATTTATTAAAAAAATATTCTGGTGGTAATAATCAGGTTGAAGTGGCAAATGAAAACAATTGGAGATGAGAAAACAATTAATCGATTCATGAATTTTCTTTTGGTTTTTAATTTCTGGGGTTTTATGAATAATTTAATTCCCATAGACGAGCGTTACTGCTCCTCCGGAAGAAGAAATTCCAGGAGCAAGTGCTGACGAAAACTGATGGTCAATTAGAGAACATTGAGACAATGGTCCACGATTTGGAATTTGCCCAGATCGAGGCAAAAGTAATCGACGGTTTGAAAATAGGTAATACAGCCCTGAAGAAGCTCCACGAGATTTTGTCGATCGATGAAATCGAAAGGGTGATGGATGATACAAAAGAGGGAATCGAGAAGCAGAAGGAATTGGATGATTTGTTACTGGGAACATTGACTGAAGAGGATGAGGGCGAGGCCGAGGCTGAGCTCGACGCCCTTTTGGCTGAAGAAACTGAGAGAATGCCTGAAGTACCGGATGACATTCTACTGCCTGATGTACCTGATGATAACATTAAGGAAGAGAAGAGTGAGAATTCTCGGGATTTATTCATTCTCATTTTTTAAATGCACAACTTATTTATTTTTTTCTTTTCAGAAGCAGTCAAGAAGGAAAAAAAAGAGGAACCCATCGCAGTCGAGGCTTAACCCAAATTTTAATTAACAATTATTATGTAAATATTTGTACAGACTGGCATTTAACAATGATGACAACGTGGAATACATGAGATGACAATATTAATTATTTCTTTATTTACTGAAATTATTTTATTTAAAAAAACAAGTCGCCTGAGAGTTCCTAATTTTTTGGTGGAATAATTCAATTTGATTCCCAGAAAAATTACACCTGCGGAATAATCATTTTTTTTTCTAGGGAAGGAAGACAAATAAAAGATTGACAATGAAAATAATCATGTCAATCAAACGTCATGAGGGAAATGACGAGGGACATTTTTCCCTCTTCCGGTTCGGCTCCAAGTAATTATTCATAGAAAACGAATATCCCATGAAGAAAAAATTTTGAATAATATTGCGAATTGATGAATTTTTTTTTTGAGATTAAAAAAAACTCCAAATTGTTTGAGAAATATTTTTTCGTATCAAAATTCGCCCGCCGCCATTTTACCTCCCCATCTCCCAGAGGCGGTTCTCAAGATGGCGTTCTCACCTCGTCTTTCTAAAAAATTATTAGAATTATTATCAATAATAATAATTATTTATTTTATTGAATTGATGATTAATTACTAATAATAAAAATACTGCATACACTTTTAGAGAATAAAATACATATCGCTCTTTTCTCCACGGAGAGATGAAATATAAGTAATTTTTTTTCCAGTTCTTCGTTTTTCCCAGCGGCGGAATTTTTTTTGCAACAAATGGAAAATCAATTCAATGATGAAAACAACGAGTGTTATAAAAAATCCACTGGCCAATGTATATAAAATCGGTTTGACGCCCTCCAGGTGAACTTTTGGATAAATTTTTTTATATATAAGTGGGTCTTTAACGTATTTATTCATCAGTCGTTGAAACACTCCGTTGAACTGAAACTGACGAAGACTGAAAAATTTCATTATTAATTGTAAATAATTTTGTATATTTTTTATCAAATCTTGTGTAATTAACTCAAGTGCATGTACCGATAATTAATGAAGCTAAGATACTCGCTTCCCTTTGGTGTAATCAATCCGAGTGTTTCGATTGTCTTCATGTCGATGGAAGTAATCTCACAGTTTATAGAGTTGGCTATTATTTTTACGACAGCTTCGTTCGTTTCAAACGCGACATTTTCCTCGCACACTTGTTTGAATCCATCGATCATACTTTTGGGTAACGATTCATACGGTTTCATGAGGGCCACCATCTTCTTGCTGAATTCGTCTTTAGATGCCTAAAAAATAAATTATCATTCCACATTATTAATTTTATCGATCGTCATTAGAAGAAAAAATTACGTTTGTCAAACGAATTTTTTTATTTGATTGAATTAAAGTGGCTATTTGAAAATTTAAAGCACATAAAATTATTTACCTTGTATGTGTTGTACTTTGAACTATCTTTCAATAATATCAAGTTGTAGGTACCATCAGCGATAAATTCCTCAATCGTATGGAATGGTGAACGGGATGAAAAGGCAGCGAGAAAACTAACTAGTGACGCAGAATATACACTAGCACTAACAACAGCCGAGATGAATATTGAGAAATAAATAATTCTCAACGGCATTTTATCTGGGAATTCTATTGAAAATATTTATCATGTAAATAACAATTGATCTTTCAATTATATTCTCCTTACTTGACAATCCCTGCTGACAGAAAATACCCCAAACACACAAATAGTGTTCAAAGACTTGAGGCAACAGAGCATTTCCCCGTCTGTATCTAATGAGAGTTAAGAATAAAGGTATTGCCAAGATCAATCCGATGATCACCATCCAAACGTCGGTAGCTAATGCCTGCGAATAAATCATACGCATCGATTTATTATCCAGAAGAAATAAGAAGAAAATTTTACGCAACGAATTGTCAAGCAATAAGTGATAGAAACTCCCGGAAAATGGTTTGAAAATTTTGTTCATTCTGTAGAAGCAGGAAAAAATGAGTGATGGGTCGATCAACGAGGATAAAGAGTTTTAATTAACATTCAAAAATACGAGGTGACAAAGGTGGTCGCCGCCATCTTGATGCAATACCCCTTCCCCCGTCGCGCGGAGTTCCAAAGATGGAGGCGCTTCCACCTCGTGATTTTAAATACTTATTAAAATTATTTGAACTTTTCAAATTGTTCTCAGCTTGGTTCATTCGATTTCTAAGATCTGAACCATTTTTTCAAGTCATTCCGCAGATATTTATGTTCCATTTTGCCTGATAATTCACAGGATTTTTTGTTGATGAAAAACAAATAGATACTTTGACATAGGCCTCCCACCCAACACGAGCTCTACTAAGTTTTCTCATGTACAATCGTGATGCGCCAGATATCATGGGTACTGTAAAATCAACTGCACTGAGTCGTCCATTAGTCATGACGAGTGGAGAAATTCCGATATCAGCTTCATTCCGATGAATTTTCCCCATAACACCGCTCCATTGTGACGTTTTGGAATTCCAAATTCCATAACCGCTCTCCCATGTGAATTCTGTTATAGTGAAGTTCATCGTCTCCGAGAATTCATTCAAGATTTCTCCAAAAATTCCGGAATACTCTCCGTCTTTCTCCGACAAGTAAACCGTCTCCTATATAAAAATAAATATATGGGCTCCAAAAAAATTGATATTAATAAAAATGGAGGAGATCAGATAAATTAATAAATGATGAATAATTTTTTTTCAAGTTGATGTACCTTAGCAGCCACTACCCGAAGTTCTCGGCCGTCCAGGGAATTTCTCCGGCTGTACAGAGTACTTGAATCGAAGCAATTGCCCTCAGTAGCTCCATTTATCCACCTGCCGATTTCTTTTATCATCGTGCCATTGACCGGTGAAGGCCACCAGTCATGAATTATCCCAGAATCACAGCAAAGCACGAGTACTTGAGAATCGAATCTGAGATTGAATGTACTTCGTCTGGGATTGATGCAGAATTCGCAGATTTCGGTACCGATTTCTCCAGTGAAAAGCAACAGCCATACCGGAAAATTCATGGTAAGATCCTTAACGATCCCTTCAAAAATCTGCACTTCTTCCATTTCGTGAAATGTAACAACAATGAGGGGTCGAACAATTATATCTGTGAAGAACGGCAATCGCTTCATTAGTCTCTCGAAGTCGACGATTATCGAAGAAATTCGATCTCGGGATAACATCCTGGATATTTCATAACCGATCGTTGCTCTCGTTAATTCTAGAAAGAATTATTTATTCCACAAAATGTCAGATTTTTCCCTTTTTTTTTAATTAAACAGAATTACTTGTGTGAGATTGCGTGGAGTGAGTGACAATTATCCCCGCAGTTCGGTATATTTTATGAATATCTTTAATTAAAGGAACGTAATACTTATGTGACCGATATGAATCGGCGGATGATTTTGAAATACACAGGAGTGCAACGAACACCCAGAATTTCATTTTGCGATTTTTTTTGGGCGATGAGAAATTTTTTTTTAATTTTTTATTAAATTAGATTAAATTAAATTCAAAATGTTTATGAAAATCAGAGCTCTCTTGATTCGTTACGGTGTGTTATAAACGATGAGATGGCCCTAGGGGTAAAAAACTCTAGCTCGATCGGGGATGACAACAAATCCCTGTGTTTATTCGATATATTTGCATTTCCGGTCTTCTGGAATGACACGGGATTTTTTCCCCTGTTATGATTAGATCATACCAAGATGTCATGATAAGATTACCGTTATTGCTCAACATAAAAGATGAAGTGAAAAGAAAACTATTTCCGATTTCGTTTACCGATTTTTTTTGGGGGGTTATACCACCAAAAATCGGGTTATTCTGGAAATCGATCGCCGATTTTCGTCGAATCTCGATCGATTTCTTCGATAAAACATTAAGAATCGATACTCGAGGAAACGATACCGATCATTTCCACCAAATATTTTCGATCTTGCGAGTGGATCCACCGCCAGGACGAGAAGAAAAATCGATTTATATCGAACGTCAATCGATTTATTTTCGTCGATATCGGTACGCCCTCTTCTCTGTGCGGTCGGTACTGAATTTTCAGGTCATCCTGACCTCCCGATTCGGGTTTTTACGAAAATCTAGATCTATCCTCTATCTTCTTTGGGTATAAAGGTTAAAAAATATATCTACATTATCAACCGCCCGTCACTGCTCTCATACCCACTTGCAATTATTTAATACAAAAAAATTACAGTACTTGGTAAAAAGGAAAAATTCAAGATGAAATTTCCTCAGGGAAAAATCGAGATTTCTTTATGAATCGCAAGAGAAATCGCAGTGCTGGTACTGAAAAATTTCTGGATCGATCAATTTCCGAAATTGGAAATCGGGAATAAATGTCATTATTTTGGGAGTTGTAATTTTGCCAGATTTGTTTTAAGTCATAAATCCATTCCGTTTTTTCTGGACTGGAAACAAATCCGCGAATAATAATATATTTAAATACCGCATCTGTTGACGCATTTCCATTTGTGGTTTTTACATTTTTAAAACGATCTGCTCCGATTGAATTTACGGTACGTTTTGACAGATTCACCGATAATATTGAATATTGCAGATAACGAACAGCTGAAAAAATTACCAAGTGTCAGAGAGCTAAACTGAAATTAAATCAAATTAATTTTTCATTAATTTAATTCATAACGTCAAGAAATATCCTCTTCGGATAACGATTATTGGAATCTGTCTACCCATTCGTATTAAAATTACGATATCCTTGGAAAAAAATCTTTAATTGCATCCGAGTTATTTGTAATTAAAATATGAGTTCACGATCGTTTTTGGAAATAAAAAATTTAATTATTGCTCTGTCGATTGACTGATTAGTTATGAAATAAGAACGGGAATTCGATAGTGTGTCATGTGATACAGTTACATGTACGTTATAAATTATGACTTGTGCTTTACACCGGTAATGTCGCCCTAGTTGAAAGAAATTAGAAGTTCAGGAAACTCTTCCGTGGAATCTTTCAGTCAGACCAAGTTTTTCCAATTATCTTTTAATTTCGGATAAGTGGATGAAGAAAGTTTCAGTCCATTTCATCTTTCCCGATTTTTTCGTAGTCCCTAGGTTTTGCAATTCAATGCGGGGAATTTC